AAAAACTTTCGAAGCTTAATACCTTGAATTCTTTTGCTAATAACATCGATGTCTCCCCAGGTCGGGCACAAAACTCCATAGGCCTTTTGAACTCTTGTGCTATCGTTCATTCTTCTGCGCTTGCACCATTTTCCTGGCACTACTCCTTTTTGAGGACGCTTTAGAACGTAGTTGTCAATTTCTAACATCATTGGATCATTTTCTCTCAATGGCCTAGCAAAAATTGCTTGCCTAGACAACTCATCATAACTTGACATGTTTATTGCACCATGTTCGACTTCGATAGCAATGTCCTTAACAATGTACCTTAAATCAGTGTTAATAGTCGTGTTTTGAAATTCGGGTGTGTTGCAGAGGATTGTGTGGAAATAGGATTCGAGAGGGAAAAGTGAATTTGTCAAGTACATTAGTAGTTTTCTGGGAAGATTGTCCCATCCATTCACACAATGTTCTATCAAGGCCCTGCTTAACATCATCCAAGGGGAACCTAATTCAAAACAAAAACCAAAATAAGAAAGCAAAAATAATCCATCTTTAAAAATTATGTTTCCTAAAATAAGTTACTTAAAAGCAACCTCCAAATATTTGAAATGCCTCTGGTATTTCTCTAGTCTCTACAGCATAGAGAATATCACTCTTCTCTTTAAGATAGAGATTGCTGTCTACAACAATCCGGCCAGCATTATGCCTCCTGCACAAATGCATACATTTCCCAACATAAATTTATGGTAAATGAAAAGATATTAAGAATTTGTATTCAAAAGGTCAACCTTATTAAGAAAAATAACGCAATCTCTTATAAATTGATCTAAGCACAATCCCTTATAAATTATCTATCTCATCTTTATTCGATATGATATTTTATTTCTTAATATGTCCTCGCAAGATAGTGACTTGTTTGAACGGATCAATGTTGAAATTTGTGTACTCATTTTTATAAGTTTTAATCAGATCGAATTACTCGATTGAGCTTAATAGACTCTGACACGATATTACAAATTGGAGTACCATCTTAAAATGTCAACCTTATAAAGAGGAGTAATCCAAATCCTTATAAATTGGTATATATTTTCATCTTTATTCGAACTGAGATTTTATCTCTTAACAAGAGATTCGAGTAATACTAAATAATTGAAGGTGCTGGTTAAAATGTAAACCGACATGCATGGTAACTTGGTAAGGGTCGGTTTTGATATGGTTGGATGCTAAAACTATCTAGGACAAGTTTTACAATTTTTTTGCCTAAAGATTTTTCACTTTTTTTACGTATAGAAGCCCACAGAGCCGATATTAGTGCCCTGCAGCCATTGATAACAATACAGGTTTCCAAAATTTTGAAAAGAATTCTGGCGACTGATCAAGGTTTTTCCTAACTTGGAGAATATCCACAGAGAGAGAGACAGAGAGAGAGAGCTATAGTTGCATTGGTTGATCTCTTTCTTCTCTTTTCTCCGTATCAGTGCAGTTCAGGCTTTGCTAAACCTTAGATTTTTCCCTTAATTGGATAAGCAGACACCTTAAACTCTGGTATAGATATGTCAAAACAAGACACCAAAGCAGGAAAAGAAATTGTAATAAAAGTGGCTTTTTTCTTACTTCTTCCAGGTATTGCTGTTTTTGTAGTGCACAAAATTGAGATCTCTAGGCAAGAACTTCAAAGCATAGAGGATATCTGCACAGAATAGAGGAGATTTTCGAAATGATACATACATACATATATATATATATAAACATGTTCGGGATGGAAGATTGGATAGCACTCAACCTTGTTAAGAAAGAAAAATAAGCTAAAAAATTTAATTATAAGCCTAAAAGGTGTAGCATTCATTTTACCATCTTGACTGAAAAGTGGATAGTCTGAGGTGCTTAATGTAGTGAACCAGTCCCAATTTCTGTCCAGTTTAAGAAGCAAAGCCCCAGCATGAATCATCGCAGCAAGGGAAGACACCCCCATTGGGTCGATCTGATAACGTTTTCCTACAACGTTAACATTTCCAAATACGCGAAATACCTTTTCCAAGTGCACGGAAAGGGCTAATGCGGTCATTTCTTGGTCGGACGAAGTAGCATCAAGGTGTAGAAGGTACTGATTTCTTGGATGATAAACTGCCTTTAATAGCCTCAAGATTCTTTTACTGTCTCCTTTTGAGCCAAATATCCAATAAGCTAGGATTGGCGGATCATCAGGGCCTTTTCTGGGAACTCTTACAGGCAGCTGAAAACTTGTACTAGGAAATCTATCATTAATTTCACACAGTTGCGTCCACATTACTAAAAACATTAGAGCACCTGCAAGGCTTAGAAGCCAAAATCGAATTCCGAAAAGAGTTGAAATTTTGTTTGATATCCTCATTTGTTAGAACTAAAATACGACAACTGCGAAATTATGCCTCTGTCCGTCAAAACAAACAGGAAGCAAAAGCATCCATGATTTTCATCAAAACAGTATAGGACAAATGGATCGACACAAGGTTCTTTTTCTTGAGGGTACTCTCGGAAACAGATTCAGTGGAGATCGGATGGGGCTTTAAGAAAGTATGCACTATTTTTTCAATCTGTGTAAATGATCAGTTTGTGCACTCGATCATGATCATAAACCTGTCAAATGCTTGATGATCACGAATCTTGATGAACTCTTTGAACTTGCTGAACAATTAGGAAGAAAATCTTAAGCTGAAAGCAAACGTGAGATGACAAGAAAAAAAAGGTTGATTATTAAAAACCAAGAAAGAACTGGTCCAGTGCAAGAACTAAGGTAAAAAAGAATTTTCATTGTTTGCACCTTATACCTGCTGATAAGACACATAAACTAGAGATAGGTGGATTCATGATTGATTTTATTTTTAGGACATCTCTAATGGTACAAAAAATTAGTATAAATTTGGCATAAAATTTGACTCCAATGACATACTAAATCACCACACCAATTTGGTGTTCATGTAATTACTGTTCATTTGGTGTTAAGTCATTATTCTTGTTGTGCCCTTTTATATTACAACGAATTGTAATTCTTTTTATATCCTTTTAGTATTTAATGATTTATATTTATTTTAATGTGATTATTATTTTATTAGTATTTATTTGTAAATTCTAATCAGTGTGATAAATGATAAGGAATCCACAAATTCCGAGAAAATGAATGACAAAACTAGAAGTGATTTTTATTATATGTAAATATTTCGTGCGTTCAATGTAATTTTTTTTTAATTATGGTATTCAATTTAAATTTTTTTCTTAATTCATTAATAAATGCAATATTTACTTCATTAAACATAATTTTTATTTTAATAATAATATAATTTTTAATTAAATAAATAATTTGTTGAGAAAAACAATGAGAAAATAAAGAAACTACTATTTATGTGATGTAAAATTTGGCTTAATAATTAGAGATGTCACCTCAAATTGATGTCAAAATTGTACCAATTTGGTGTAACGGTTTTGTTATTTGTACATAACCCCGGATGACACCCCCTCACAAGAGAGGGGGCCCACAATTATTTTATTACGTGTGGGCCATCTCTTGTGAGGCGGTGTCATCTGGTGTGTCGACTCTGAATGTACAAATAGCAAAGTTCTTGTTGTTAAGATCGTTGAAAAAATGCAATTAGATTGTCACGTGGTTTCATCCATATAAAATTAGGTTTCGTCACTCATAGGGTTGGCTAGAAATTTTATGCGAGACCTATGACAATTTATAAATTTGAAAGATTTTTCAGTATTGAAAATGCATTGTACATCTATAATGAAACATTAGAAATGGAATATCAACTAGTTACTTGCATAACGAGTTAAGAACAATCGCGAAAATTTCTCGAGAAATCTTGATTTCGGGCTCAGAAAGCAACCAAACGAACACCAAATACACCAAGGCTCTACCTAAAACTTTCCTCCACTTTAGTTGCTCCAAGTTTCTCTCAAACCCCACAAAGAAGAATGGATGGAGGTGGTACTAGTAAGAGTAGGAATACGAAGATGCAACAATGGTGAAAATCTCTCCACTTTCCGTCGGCCATCCGTTCCTCTCTCTTGCACACACACACACACTACAAAACTGGCTGCTAGAAAAGATAAATGAATATAAAGTCAAACCACTTAGGTCACTCAACTGGGCCAAGACCTATGCAAATGGGTTGCCGCTTAACCTAACCTAATGGGCTAATATCCAAGTCCAAACTTACCACTAAATGGTCCAACTAACCAAAAACCATCAAACCCAAACTTGGGCTAAAACTATAGGTTGTTTCTGAGCCAAGCCTATGGTGTCGATAAATTTTTAGTCAACTGTTTTTAAATCATCGCCCTGATTTAATGGGTATCAAAATAAACAAATCTCTACATTGATACACAATCAATCTGCAAACAAAGAAAATACAAAGCTTATACTTGTATAATCAAGGTAACTAATAAAATTAGAATTGCAGTCCTTACCTCGTGTTTTCAACCTGAAATACATACCATATTTGCTCCATATACTCACCAGGACTAAAGTCACATCCAAGTAGAAGTAGATATTCACAGTAATCAATCAAGAGTAAATGAACATACGATGACGATATAATAGGATAATACTCACAGATTATTTCAGAAAATCACATTCACGTTGAGCAACATATTAACACCAAATTAATCAAACACATACGGAACAAATGTATAAATAACTCCCACAAAAAGATCTCATCACACTTATCATATCCCATTCCGTGTTGCTCCCACCTTGAGAACATGTATCTTCTTTCCTCGCTCACTAGATGATCACTCAACTCGTGTTTAATTGATAAATCACCATAGATCCTAAGTTCTCGGGATAATCCTCTATCACCACATCACTTCTCTCCAACCTATATGGATAATGGATCTCCACCTAACAAAAGTGATAGAAATGCGTCTCTCACACTCCACCTGTATAGAGTCTTTTCATAGATAAAGGATTCCAACTAGGAGTGGGCATTTTTTTCGGAACTGGTAGAACCAGACCAGAACCACTTAGAGCTACCGGATCAATTCCGAATCTTTTAAACAACGATTTGATTTCGGGACAAATTATTAAGAACCAACCGGTTCCCAATTTAGAATGGGGCGGTTCTCATAGAATTTTTTATTCTTTATTTTTTCAATAAAATGTATGACTTAATCTAGATTTCTACAAATTATAACTAACAGAACCAAAAGTTGCAATAAATTTTTTAAGGGTGTCCAATTCAATGTAGGATTTTGATTTTGATGGAAGTTTGTTTAATCGTTGGAGTACTATACAGTTTATATAAGTTGATGATTGCTTAACACTAGTAACTTATATTATTTGGATATTGTTTTTAAATTTGTATACTTAGTTTTTTTTTAATCTTTGAATATTATGTTCGATTCTTCTATATTTTGTTAATAGTATCATGTTGGTAGCATCTTTGGATTTTTTGCTAGTGAAAATTTTATTTTGATATTTTCAATGTAAAGAACCAGATCGGACCAATCCGAAACCGATTGGTTCAGTTCCTTAGCTAACTATGGAAGCAATGGTTCCTAGCTAAAATTCTCATTGGTATTCAGTTCGATTCGGTTCCCACTCCTAATTTCGACATTTAATCATTGTTCACGAAATTATTTGTTTCGATTTAAAACCCACCACAAGTGTACGGTTCATTAACAAGTAGTAAAATGGACTATGAGTCCAAGTATCGATCCCACAAGGATTGATTTAATTCAAATCAACCTATTATGACCTTAACCGAAACACGAAAGTAAAATTGATGTATTGTGATTTAACTAAAGAAGATGTAAACTATGATGCAATTATGAATGAGAGAATTATATTAACTACAAAATGACTTGGACACAATCTACGAGAATTTTATGGAATTAATGAATTTACTAACGCACTAAGATCACGAATTCCCAAGCAATACTCGTTAAATTTTCAATCGTGCAGATTTGACACACAGTCCCACAAAAGATGAATCAATATTCCTATTTTAATTTAGCAATCTCTCTCGAGCAATGCCAAACCTACCTCAATCTGTGATTCGACTATATCTCTATGACGAATACTAACATACCGGAATGCATTATGATTTCATGAATATCCAACAATTCAAACAAGGCATGGATGTATATTTCTATCCCCTATCGAACCTTATGATGATTTATACTATGTCGAACTTATTTTCCTTCTTTCGAATACATAAAACAGGCCACCAAAGTCATATAATTACGTGCACAATAATAATATGGAAATAAAAACGTAATAAATCATTCAATTCCGGAACATGTGTTTAAATATGTCAAATATCCAAATCGAAAATCAAACATAGTATTACAAGGTTCATCGATCTCCTAACAATGAAAAATCTAGCCTAATATGCTAAAAAGAAGAAAATACAAAAATAGTTGAAGAAACGTGATCACTCGAATCAAATTTCAATCGAATCTTCACTTGGCGCGATGTTTTCCTCTTGTTCTCTCTTCGTTTTCTCCTTCAAAATCTCCCTTTTTTCTTGTAAAAATGGCGTTCCCTTCATTCTGGTCGAATTTTCGTTTATATAGGATCCTAAAAAGATTGTTTTTTATAAGAGTTTCGGCAGAATAAGGAAACTACGAATTTGGCCATAAAAATGCTCTATGCGACCGCATAGAGCATCTCTATGCGGTCGCATAGAGTAAAAGTTTTGTGACATTTAGTTTTCGGTTTGCCTCTATGCGGCCGCATAGAGGGTAGCACCAACTATTGAAGAGGTTTATTTTGGTCCTTCTACTTGAATCCTTCACTTCTTGGCATATTTTCTTCATTCTTTCCATTCCATCATCCCAATATACCACCAATTGGCATTTGGCTTAATCAGTTTCTGATTTGTTCATCAGGTCAACTTCTGGATAATTGCACCTTGGTCCTTAAACTTTCACTTTGCATCATTTTAGTCCTTTTTCGCGTCTTTTTTCCTGAATTTCACCATGTTCATCGATGTTCTCTACAATTCACAAATATAACGAGATTAAGTTACAATTCAATCATTTTACTCGTTATTAAGTCATGTTTGTGACCTAAATAAGTATGCAAAAACATTTTTATCAATCACCTCTTCACTCGTGATCCAAATGCCACACTCCATATCCCTCGTACATATCACTGATGCACCTTCAGGCATCTATACTTCACATTATCAAAAGACACTCAACACACTGCTAATGCATAACAAATCAACTATAGTAAATCAACACCTTTGACGACCACAAAGGTTAGAGCTTAATTTAAATTGACCCACGCACCATGAGGTTACTCCAACGACCAACATTCAAAAAATTTACAAAGGAAATGATGAAGGTGACACTCATAAAGAGAATAGAAGAAAGAGTTAGTTACTTCACTACACTCACAAAAAAGGCTTACAAAGAGAAAAAAAAGATAACTCTACATGACTGTCTCACACAATTTTGCAAATCACACAGGCTCACAAAGATAAAAGGAGAAAATAGTTGTCTATCTTTCTTTTCACTACCACACTCTCTCACCCCTCACGGAGCAAAAAGAGTACGCCACAAATCTCAACCCACTATGCATGCAAACACATTACACAAAGTAATAAAATCACTCCAATTTATGCAATTATACACATCAAAATTGTTGAAAGCGTAATATATCAACACAACAAAATTAAGCAATCGCATGCATGCAAAAAGAATTACATACAGATGCACATGTAGTAACCAAGTTTACTGTCAATAAATCTCACTAGGATCATC